CTAGGATTTTGTTGAAGATTTTTGCATCTATATTCATGAGGGATATTGGTCTGTAGTTTTCCTTTAGAGTGATGTCTTTGCCTGGTTTTAGTGTCAAGGTTATGCTTGCTTCATGAAATGAGTTAGGGAGGATTCTATCCTTTTCTGTGTTTTGGAATAGTTTGAGTAGGATTGGTATCCGTTTTTCTCTGAGCATTTGTTCAAATTCTGCAGTGAAACTGTCTGGCCAAGTACTTTTTTTGGTTGGTAATATTTTGATGACCTGTTCAATTTCTTCTTTTGTGATGGACCTGTTCAACTTTTCCACATCAGTCTGTGTTAGTTTAGGTAAGTGTTGTGTTTCTAGAAATCTGTCCATTTCTTCTAGTGTTTTGAAGTTGTTGGAGTATATAGTTCTTCATAGTATCTTGATATTATCATTTTAATTCTGTTGGTTCTGTTGTGGTGTCGCCCAATTCATTCCTCATTCAGGTTATTTTGTATTCTCTCCCTCTTTTCCTTTGTTAAATTTGTCAGTGTTTTGTCAATTTTATTAATATCTTCAAGGAACCAACTCGTAGTCCTGTTGATTTTTTCTATTGTCTTTCTCTTTTCTGTTTGTTTTATTTCTGCTTGAATTTTTATTATTATTAGGGTGAGAAGTATGAGTTTCTTTCACTAAAGGAACACCTCATTAGAATTATGAGGATGTTTGTTTGAACAGACAGCCCTGAGATTCATCCAGATCCAACAAGCTTTGAATCTAGACATAAACATTCTTATTATTTTACAACCTCATTACAAAGAAAGAAGCTCAGTTTTTTTCCCTGTTGGTTGTAATTTTGCCTGATACCTGGAAGAACATTCATTGAGTGAGATAGGCATTTCTGTGCCCCCAACATGTTGGTAAGAATTACTCATGGGTTTTTCTGGAGAAATTACCTGACAAACTGAGGTTTATGCCCCAACTGTGGTTCCCAGGATATAAGGTTTGGGTCCAAGGAAAAGACCAGAAAAACACCCTGAAGTCTTTGAGGGAGGCTCTAGATGCCTGTCAAATTAAGAGATGTTTTCAAATATCAGAACCATTTTTGACTAGTGGTCAAGAATGAAGATTAATTACTTAGAGCAACACTCATGGCTTCAACTTTAATATTAATAGGCTGTACTATTGCTAACCACGAATTCTGAGTTTTCACGGAAAGGCCTTTGTGAGGGCAGAATCTGGTGATTTCTAAAATGGAAAAAGTTGGTGAAATGTAATATGATTGTTTTTCCTCACTGCAAATGCCAATACCAATTTTCATGCTTATTTCCCTCTGCACATTTTTAAGCCATCTCTGTATTTCCTTTCTTTTAATATGTAATTGTTAGAAGAGGGACACTAGGTATATATAAGCCTATTTTCTTTGTCTTAATTGCAGAAAAAATGTATTACCCAGCAAAGACATGAGAAGGATATGCAAGTCCTCTAGGTTACCTCTGACGGAAGATCTTCTGGTAACCTTACTGTCCAGGTAAGCAAGAGCTCCATTCTGGATGGAGGTTGTCCTGCATATTTTTGTTTTGGAGACTGACTAGTCCTGGTTTTATATTTACTGTTAGTTGCCCTTGACCTCTTGTGTTTTGATTATATTATTAATGACATGCCTTCATTCAAGTATTACAAAAGGTGAAGTTAGTTGTGATTTTGGATGTTAGAGAACAGAGCTTTTTATGAATTATTACTTGATTTTTTTTAACATTAATACACACTTGCATACATATAGGTTCCTGGACAAAATGAAAGGAAATTGTTCAACTTTGTTGGTTTTGAAGATATTAAATGTAAAATTCAGGGCAAGTTTCTCAAAGTATTTCCTAATGATTAAGACATACAGTAAGAGGACCTACTGTTGTTAGCAGAGGGCTCTTTCCTACACCTGATATAAAGCATAGATTATGATGTCCCAAATGTATTTTTCAGATGCCTCATTTCTCCTGTTGAACTTGATTTTTTACTTCTGAGCACCATCCTCCCAGCCATCCAAATTCAAAACTGTGGTCATCTTTTATGCTTCCTATGGCATCATCCCAGCCCCTCATCTTATTTACATATCTTGATAATTCTGACATTTTGGACTGTGTTTTAGGTATTGTTTTGGGTACCTCTGTGCTGCTCTAACAGAAAATATACCACAAATGGGATGGCTTTAACAAACAGGAGTTTATTCTCTTACAATTTTGGAGGCTAGAAGTCTGAGTTCAAAGTGCCAGGCTCTAGTGGCTGGGTGAAAGCCCCTTGGGCTTCAGCTCTGCCTCTTGCCCCAGGCCCCCTGAAGCTAGAGGCTTTTCTTCTCTCAGGCAGCATCTGGCTGCTGAGGCTGACAAGGTAGACAAGTGAAAAGTCAGAGTTCCGAGATCACCAAACAACATGGCAGGCCACTGATTCAAGTCCAGAAAAAGTCCCCAGATCAGCAGGGTATGGCAGGCTATTGATCAATGACTTGACTACATGCAGGGTTCAAGTGTGCCAAAAAGCTAGAGACCAATCCCAAAGCTTCTCCTTATACCACATCCTTAAAGTAGCTACTCAGCTGCTTGTGGTTGATTGCCAGTCTCATCATGGGGAATAACTACCTTCAGCTGCCCAGCCACTCAACCAGGCCCAGCCAAGTTGACACACAAACTTAACTACCACAGGCATTGTGTTTGTTGTTCAGTAACATTATCTTGTTTACTTTTGGAAAGGAACTTTGTGAGGCCAGAGCTCTTATCCTTCCTGTCTTACATATGATCAAGCTGAGGTTTAGAGAGATAAAGTATTTTGCCCAAAGTTACATAGTCTTGAAGAAGACCTATGACTTGACCCACGAGCTTTTCAAATGCACATCTTCTGCCTGTAACTAATTCAAATTATTGTTTATTAGGACATCTTGACAGTTCTACCCACTTACTACCAGTTTTAGTTGTTTTAGTGCTGCTTTAACAGAAACGCCACAAAGGTGGCTTTAACAAACAGAAATGTATTATGTCACAGTTTAGGAGGCCAACCAAACCAAAAACCAAACTCACTGCCGTCGAGTGGGTCCCGACTCATAGAGACCCCTCCTTGGATTTCCAAGGCAGTATCTCTACAGAAGTAGATTGCCCAGTCTTCCTTCCAAAGAGTGGCTGGTAGGTTTGAACCACCAGTCTTCTGGTTAGTAGTCAAATGCCTGAGGCACTACACCACCAGAGCTCCCAGAAGTCCAAATTCAGAGCTAGCTCTAAGAAGCCTTTCTTTCTCTTTCAACTCTGGAGAAACGTCCTTTTTTCTTTGAGCTTCTGCTCCTGGTGATCTTCATGTAGCTTGACATCTGTCTTGCCCCCATCTCTGCTTCCTAGCTTGCTCAAGATTGACTCAAGATACACCCTACACTAATCTTGCTTCATTAACATAAAAAGACAACCCATTCCCAAGTGGGATTATAACCACAGGCATAGAGGTTAGGATTTACAACACATCTTTTGGGGATATAATATTACCATTTATATCTACTCTCTTCTCTCTATTCTCACCAATATTACTCTTTGGTCTGACCCATATTTCTTCTTGAATATTGCAAGAACCTCTATATTGGTCTTTCTTTTCTTCCACAGAACTCTAAATTTTAAAATCCATCCTTAAATACAGCTGCTGAGTACCTTCTAGAGCACAAATGCCATTGTGTCATTTTTCTATTCACAAATCCTGTGATGTCTCTTTGTTCTCTAAGGAAAGACCAGATTCCTTAGCTTTGAACTACTTCTCCCCCATCTCTTTTGTAGAGCTTGGGGTGGTCAGTTGGGACATTGTTCTCAAGCAAGGGTTGGAGAAGGGAGTCATAATCTGAGACAAAAAAGAGAAGCCAAGGGAACAGGTAAAACTAAATCCCATATAATGAAACAGAGTCCAAGATGTCTGGAGGGGAATCCAGTCCAGTTAGACGTGTGTGTGTGTGTGTTGGGTTGATCTGCAGTAATTTTCCAGAAGTTATGCTCATTTACTTTTTTTTGCTGGCAGCAATGTGATGTATAGGTAATCTTAGTGTAAAGGACCTGGGATAAAGTAGGCAGGTCTAGGAGTCAGGGTTCTTTACGGCTGGGACTTGAATCTATTGACTCATGCTGCCAAAGCTCCTCTTATTTTCCCAATAATCCAGTCAAATGGGCCATCTGGCATTCCACTCATATAACTGTGCCTTCCCACTTTTTTTTTTTTTTTTTTGCCTTTGCTCTTGCTGTTTCCTCAGTAGGAAATAGCTTCCATATTTCTTCATCTGTTGATAACTTAAGGAACTCTGGTATCTCAGTGCCTAAGACATTTGACTACTAACCAGAAGGTTGGTGGTTCAAACCCACCAGCTGCTCTGCAGAAGAAGATGGGACAGTCTTCTTCTGTAGAGATTTACCATGTTGGAAACCCAGTGGGGGTCTTTATGAGTCAGAATTGACTCTATGACAGTTGGTTTGGTTGATAACTTGTTCTTTCTTCCAGAACCCAGTTCAAGTAGCACTACATCCATGAAATTCTCTTGGATTTACTAGGCTAGCAGTGATTATTTCCTGCTAAGGATTCTCACAGGGAGCTCTGGTAGCATAATGCCTAAGGCTCTTGACTGCTAACCAGAAGGCTGGCGGTTCAAACCCATGAGCCACTCCTTGGAAGGAAGGTTGGGCAATCTACTTCCATAGTGATATCACCTCAGAAACCCAAGGAGGTGTCACTATGAGTCGGGTCCAACTCCACGGCACATAACAACAACAATGACAAGGATTCTCACAACACAATTTATGTTTTGTCCCTTATCTTGTAACAAAGAGTTGTGACTTGACCATTCTTTGATCCATTAAGATTCAGAGACCTGCTTCTAACCTATTTGATTCACTACTTATGAACAACCAGTGTGTTGTCATGTCTTGACTGTTTTACTCCTACCTTTTCTCTTACACTCTTTACATACACTTATGAGTTATGTGATCTTGTACAAGATTTTTCACCTCTAGAATGAGATCATAATTTCTGCTTTCTAGGGTTTCTGAGGACTAACTGAGATAATATAGGTAAAATACCTGGCATAGTTAGTGCCTGGTACAAAGAATTGATTAAAATCTAGGAGAGAAGTTTAAGTCAGCAGCCATAGACCACACACTCTAACTTAGAAATGAACTGCAAGAAACCTGTATCTTTCTCTACAGAGGAGGCCTTGTTTTTAAATTCTTGGATCTGAATGCCTTTCACACATTAAACTGTCTTCTGATCAGGAAGCTGTGGATGTTTATTAGATTATCTCTTGATGGCCTGGAGGATGAGTTGTCCTAAAAAGTCTGATAATGTGGGAGCCTGGCCTCTGGAGGACCTAGATGTTTCTTCCCCAATGCAGAGGCCACCAAGTCATCATCCCCTCATTCTTTCAGCAGACTGTTTTGTCTTTGCCTTTAAAATTTGACACTAGAGGCAGAAAGACCATTCCGCAACTTGCTTCAAAGTCGTCTCAAACCACATTTGCCTCCAAGCCCAGCATAAGCTTTGAGGAGGTCATCCCTCTCAGCAGCTAAGCAGTCCATGTTCAGTCTAAACCCTGCCTCTAATTGCGCAGTGACCCTTGTCCACACTCAGGGGAAAGTTCAGACTAATCAGATTAGAAAATGTCTCATTCCCATTCCCCTCTCCCTGCAATATGCCCTGCCATGATTTGGGTCACATGCTTGGTGTTTTGCATCATCTCTGCAGATTCCTTTCAAAGACTGTCCTAATTCCTAGTGGGCCCATCAGCCTGCAGCTTGCATTTATAATCTACATTCTTATTGTTCCCCACAGACTCCACAGGGCTTTACAAAGCCTCAACCAGAGTCTCTTTCTGTGTAGCCTTCCTATGGCACGCTGAGCCAGAGCCTCCTCTGACGTCTAGAGCCTCCCAGGAGAGACAGGCATGAAGTTGGTTTGATTTTGTTCAGTGCATGTTCTGCCCAGGGCTAGTTTTACCTGCCTGCTTCAGAAGTCAACCTTTGGGATGGAGAAGGGCAGCTGCTTAACTTTGCTATGAATGCAGATCAGGATAGGAAAAAGAAAGATGGCTCAAGGTTTGGACACTTTCAGTCAGTGATTGTTACCCCCATATTCCTCCTGACCCTGTGTTTTGCTACTAAAATTCCCTTTCTACCCCAATTACATTTTTCTTAGCATTCAGTTAGGTTTTTCTCCTTATTAGCTCAACTGAAGCTGGAATCAGGACTTTAAAATCTTCACATCCAGTAACCCAAGCCCTCCTTCAGCTCATGCTGTGTAAACTGGTATGAGGTCACCTCACTTGCCAAGCGAATTCATTTCACTAATGCACAGAGCATCAGACTTAAACGTTCTATGGAGTAGTAGCTATTACCCATTAATAACAAGAGTGACACTTTGTATTGACTTAGTGCCAAGAGCCTTAGAATCTTTTGTAAATTCTTGTGCGTATAAAAAGGTACATTTTACTTGATGATAGCCATTGTTCCTCATTTCTTAAGTGCAGAC